ACTGGACAGGAATGAGACTGGACAGGAACGGGACTTGACTTGACTGGACAGGAACGAGACTGGACAGGAACAAGACTGGACAGGAACGGGACTTGACTGGACGTGAAGACTTGGCTGGACGTGAAGACTTGACTTGGCTGGACGTGAAGACTTGACTTGGCTGGACGTGAAGACTTGACTTGGCTGGACGTGAAGAATTGACTTGGCTGGACGTGAAGACTTGACTTGGCTGGACGTGAGCAGGCGTGGGACCCAGGCAGAGAACTGCAGGAGCAGGCGTGGGACCCAGGCAGAGAACTGCAGGAGAAGGCGTGGGACCCAGCAGGGGCTGCAGCAGTAGGCGTGGGACCCAGGCAGAGAACTGCAGGAGCAGGCGTGGGACCCAGCAGAGGCTGCAGCAGCATGAGACCTGCAGGCATAAGCCCCGCAGCGTGGACCAGGAAGTGGATGAACAGCAAGAGCGACGCGAGGAAACCCAGCTCGGCGGCAGGTGCTCGACAACCGGTCTGAGCAGGTGCACAGCACGACTCGCTGGATCTCAGGCAGAGGCTTGGGTGCAGGGAAGCAGGAGAAGAGCGGAGAGACCAGCCCTACCACCCCGGAGAATGATGGCGTGCATAGGGGGTGTAACTCCCTCAAAGCTCCAGGATCCGCAGCTTCCATGAGAAAAACAGGACGGGGGCAGAAAGCAGGAGAGGAGAAGGGCTCGACCACCACAGGAAACGAACTGGATGCGCCGAAACCCACCCAGAGGCTTGACCACCCCGGAGAACAGGTAGGATGCGCCAACACCCTGGGCCAGAATCTCCTTCTGCTAAAGGAAAAAAAGTAAAAATAAATCCTCCAGGGAGATGTATAAGTGCTCACCACAGGTCCAGGTTGGTCAGATCATTCTGTCACGGTGTAGGAGGTGGAGACGGCGGACCATGTGTGGATGAGCTGAGCAGGAGGTAAAAATGCAGGCTTCAGTAAAAGTAAAAATGGTTTAATGGCAGGATGGGATGAACAGGAACAGGAACACCAACAAACAACAACAATGATCTGACAAAGGACAGGGGCAAAACAGGTGGTATAAGTACAGAGGGCTAATTAGGGAAACATGGGCAGGTAAACGAGGGACAGGTGAGAACAATAAGGGTAATCATGGCAGGAGAGGAACACAGTCAGGCGGGCAGGGGCAGATCGTGACAGCTGAACACTAATAAAATCATGTTGTAGGGCATTTTCGTTGTCTATGATATTTGGCTTAGCACAATAAATAATAGTATCATCAGCATAGAGATGCATATTTTGAGCAAAGCAATGGAAGGTCGCTGATAAAAATTGAGGTCCAAGAGAGGAATCTTGTGGAATTCCCTTGTTTATGACGTTATAATAAATCCAACCTGTGCTACCCAGGTTCTTGTGTCCTTAGTCATTTACAAGCAAGTACGCCCTCAATTAACCATATTTTGTCATGCGACATCCTCAGCACTTGAGGAAATTTCCTGCGTTCTACCCGGAAAAAACAAAGCTTGTGAGATAGAGACACTTACTCCCCAAGTGCAAAATAACCAAACAAGTTGCAGAGGGTATAAACGCGGTCGGGAGAGAGGAAAGGTTCCTGTCAGGCATAAATTAAAACTTTATTAATAAATCGTAAAGTAACAGGTTATTATTTACATTTGACATTTAAGGAGTCATTCTGGATGTTGTTTATTTTATTTGGAAATGTCTGAGTGCAGCCTCTTAGATGTCGTTCAGTCTGGTTACGCTGACAACGCATGTGTGATCGGGGAGCAGAGGAGGTTCGGGGGGTTCTCGTAGTTGTAAAATAGAATATGAACTGGAATCGGATTTGTGCTGTTTATATGAAGCTCCACAATGGGTCCCAAGTCACAGCATAGTTCCAGAGGTATCTCCTGTCAGTGCGCTCATGGAAACGTGTTTACTCCAGAGAGCACGCTCTGACAAATCCTTAATAATAATATAGAAATGATCTTTTATCCCCCCGTTCACATCTCAAGCAAAATCATGAGGCGTTTCACAAGGACAAAAATGCAATATAATAAAATTTAAATTAAAATAATATTAATTACCGCATTTTCTGGACTATAAATCGCTCCGGAGTATAAGTCGCACCAGCCATAAAATGTATAATGAAGAAGAAAAAAACATATATGAGTCGCACTGGACTATAAGTCGCATATTGGGGGGAAATTTTATTATTTTTCTTACAAAATCTGAGACCAAGCATTTCACATTGCAAGACAAGTACCGGTAACAATAACAGAATAAACAACCAGAGCGCAGCAGCTCACCATGGTCTCCAGCAAAGGATGGCGGTGTTAGTAACCCTCCCAGCGGGACAGGGGAGCTCATTCCTGGGTTGGAGCCAGCCCGCAGCAGCTCGCCACAGGCTCCAGCAGGTGAAGGCGGGGCAGAGGAGCTCATTCCTGGTCCGGAGCCAGCCCGCAGCAGCGCGGTATACATAATTTGGTATATAAGTCACTTTGGTATATAAGTCTCAGGACCAGCCAGACTGAAAAAAGTGTGACTTATAGTCCAGAAAATACGATAATTAAAAAGATTCAAAACATGATACAAATAGGAAGAGAAAAAATTGTGATTACAAAACCACGACAACCATTCCACAATGTCAGATTCCCCTCAGGTGTTGTAGCACCAATTATGTAACACAGCTGTTTTTGTATAGAAATAATTATTTAATGGGTAAAATAATTTGTGGATGAGGATCATGTGTGGACGACTAAGACCTTCGGTGTTGTGGTTCCCTCGTTCTACCACTATGCTGTTCCTACACATGGTCTGAAGTTTTCTTATATTTAGGAACATTTCCACACACAGGTACAAAAGGCTTCTCATTGAACCGTCACCTTATTGGGGTGGAGTTTGGGTGCCCTAATGATCCTAGGAGCTATGTTGCCTGGTATGGTCTCCCATGGCAAACTGGTCCTAGGTGAAGGGTGAGACAAATTCCGTTCAGAAGACCATTCATGAACACTACATCAGAGAGTTTGAGTACCCGGCCCAGAGGGTTATCTGGGTCCCAGTCTGGAGCGAGGCCTGGGGTTGGGGCCTGTGGGCGAGCACGTGGTGGTCAGGCTCTTTCCCATGGGGCCCGGTCAGGCCCAGCCCAACCTGGTTGTATGGCCTCATTCAACTGTGGACTCACCACCTGCAGGAGGAACATGACTGATCTGATGCATTGCGGATTCGGTGGCAGACCAAGGAGGAAGCTTTGGCAGCCTGATCCCCAGACAAGAAAACTGGCTATTGGGACAAGGAGCGTTACCTCTCTGGCGGAGAAGGAGCTGGAGCTTGTGGAAGAGGTTGAGCGGTACCTGCTCAATATAGTTGGACTTACCTCGACAAATAGCATTGGCTCTGGAACCCGAGTCCTGGAGAGGGGCTGGACACTTCTTTGCTATAGTTGATCTGGGTGAGAGGCGGGGGGCTAGGGTGGGCCTTTTTTTTTTAGCCCCAAGGCTCACTGCCTGTATGTTGGGGTTTACCCCAGGGGGTGAGAGGATAGCTTTCCTGCACCTTCGGGTGTGGGAATGGGTCCTGACTGCTGTTTGTGCATATGCACCAAATAGTAGTTCAGAGTACCCACCCTCTTTGGAGTCCCTGGGACTAGATGGTGTTCTGACTGGGGACTCCACTGTCCTGCTGGGGGACTTAAACGCTCACGTGGGCAATGACAGCATGACATGGAGGGGCGTGATTGAGAGGAATGGCTTGCCTACTATAAACCAGAGGGATGTTTTGTTATTAGACTTCTGTGCAAGTCGCAGTTTGGCCATAACAAATACCATGCATAAGGATGCCCATCGGTACACTTGGTACCAGGGCAGCCTAGGTTGCGAGTTGATGATTGACTATGTAATTGTATCATGTGACTTGCGGCCATATGTTTTGGACACTCGGGTGAAGAGAGGAGCAGAGCTGTCAACTGATCACCACCTGGTGTTGAGCTCAATCAGATGGCAGGGGAGGATGCCCCACAGACATTGCAGACCCAAACATATAGTGAGGGTTTGCTGGGCAGAAGAACCTGTCAAGATGGTCCAATTCCCACCTCCGGCAGAGCTTTGACCGCATCCTGAGAGCAGTGGTGGCTATTGAGTCTGAATGGGCCTTGTTCCGCTTTGCGATTGTTGAAGCGGCTGTTGCTAGCTGTGGTTGCAAGGTGGCCGGTGCCAGTTGTAGCAGTAACCCTCGTACCCACTGGTGGACACCAGAGGTTAGAAGAGCCCTCAGGCTGAAGAAGGAGGCCTACAGGGCATGGCTGGTCTGTGGGTCTCCAGAAGCAGCTGACAGGTACTGGATGGCCAAGCAGGGTGCAGCAGTGACACTTTCGGATGTCAAATCACGGTCGTGGGAGGAGTTCGGAGAGGCCATAGAATAAGACCATCGATCGGCTCCAAAGAGGTTCTGGCAAACTCTCCAATGCCTCAGTCAGGTAGAGACTGTGACAGGTGTTTCAGCAACACTGAGTGGCCACATGAGAAAACTAAGTTTACATGGAAGTCACATTTAAGCCCAAAGTTCATACATAAAAACCATTTCGAAAAGTATTTGAAATAAATAAAAACATAAAATACAACAAAAAAAATAATGAACCTCAAAGAAGGCATGGCAGCAGTCCCTCCTCTGTACTGTTAATCACCTGCTGATTAAAGTCAGGTGTGTTGAAGCAGGTAAACATCTACAATGTGCTGATAGCAGTTCTTTAGGACCAGTGTTCCCTACCCCTGCACTGGATTATTACCATTAACCAAAGAGCTCATTTGCTTGCTGCACCTTGAGGAGTGCATTAATGTATTATTCAGCACAGACAAGGCTTTTATCCTGGCAGTGTAGAATCATCACATGGATGGGGTAGCCAGCTAATGCTTGTTTTTTATTCTTTAAGTGCAGAGCCCTGAAACAGCTCATTCTGGAAGGTACTGAAAATGACAAGAATGACATTTCTGAAATAGCTTCATTTGAGACAGTTTTTGTGCAAAGAATTTAATGAGCATGTTTTGGAACTATTAAAACATTACAAAACTCATCATAATGCCCCTTTAAGATCAGTACTTCATAAAAATCATACCTGTACAAACAATAAATACGGAAGGAGAAATTCTATTTTTTATTTTTACTCTAATAAATCAGAAAAAATTATCTGACTTAAAGCATGTTGCATTGTGACACAGTTTGTAACACTGTTGCCCTACAGCGAGGAGGAGGTTGCAGGTTTGAGTTCCTGCTGCTGCCTGTTTGTGATGAGTAAGCATGTTCTCCCCATGCATGTGCAGGTTTTCTTCAGGTTCTCCGGTTTCCTCCCACAGATCAACTACATGCATGTCAGGTTAACTGTTGAATAGATGTGTCTTTTTGTGTCACTGTGATGGACTGCAGACTGTCCAGGGTGTTCCTTGCCTCTAGCTGAAGATAGACACCAGCTCCCCCAAAACCCCAGTGAAGATTAACAAAATGACCGAGTGAATGACTAAGAGAATTAGAAGCATACTGATGCAATTCATCGACCATTTAAGTCCTAATATAAACCATATAGAACATTCTCTGTCTAACAAGTGTCAGTTATTGAAACTGGTTGTCATCATTTTCTGAGAGGAAGCGGTTCTGACTTCTGAGTTACTTTCAGATTGAGCCTTGCAGGACAAAGCCACAGACCACATGAACATAAACCAACCTGAGGGGGGAAAATGAGACAATCACTCACCAAAGCACATTGCAGCAGTCTGAACACAGGGTTTGCAGTCACATAAACTGACCTTGCAGGCTGTTGAATACTGTGAAGATGTAGATCCCAGGTAAGCTGATGTATGCGGTGCTAGCTAATGCCCATGGCAACCCCAGTACACAGCTGAGGCCCAGCACAGTGATGCAGTTCTTCCATAAGCTGGGCCATTTCTCTTTTTTCACCTTCTTCCAGTCACTGCTGCTTTCATAGCCTCCTGTACCACCTCTAATCCTCTTCAGTTTAAACACCACCAGCGTCAACATGCAGGAATTACACAGAACCACGAGGAAGAGGTAGGCCACAGTGATGTAGCTGATGTAGTTCCTGTGCGGGAAATCACTGCTCATCCAGCATCTGGTTTTAATAAGGAACAAAGCAAAGGGACCAAGTTCATCTAGAAGTTCGGTTTACACTTAGGTTGAAATTTAAAAAGGTTGTGTCTCCCTACATTTCTGACGTTGACGTGTGGTTGCTGGAATTCTGCATTTTCAAGACGTATTTGCCATAAACACCTAAACTCCCACAAACAATTACAAGCAGGGTAGGAAGACCTGAAGGTAATAAGAAGAAAACAGAATTATTACAACAAGATACGGAAAACTCTCAGCTAAATATGATATGGCAAAATATTTACATGGATGCTATTTTTGACAGCACTTGACAAACAGCCACATTCTTTAACTCACCCCATCCGACCAAGCTGAGTTTGAGCAGGTATTTTCGAACATACAAGTTAAAGACACGGACCAGGAGAAGGTAAAGGTGGAATCCTTCCAAAGCTAACCAGGTACAGGTGGCAAGGAGTGACCAGTGTAAAAACAGGCCCAGTCCACGACAGACCCAGCTGTTATCGACCTTATCCAGCTGCTGGACCAAGAAACTGCACAGCAGGAAGCCAAGGTGGAGGCAGAACAGTGCCAGTGTTAGCTGCACATGAATGCCAATGGCCTTCTCTGGACGTCTTCGACTACAGAAGAAATCACAATGTGTTTTATCAGCATCATAAATGTATTATAAAGTAAAATCACAATAAAACACTTCAAAGCTTTTTGGCTCCCAGCGCAAAAACATTGCCTCAACAGCTGTACAGACCACTTATTAGGGATAAGCGAGTACACCACTGTATCTCTATCTGTTCAGCCATCTAAATTATCTGTATCTGTACTTGGAGTGGGCGTGGCCAAAGCCGGAAGTGGGTGTAGTTTAACCGGAAGTGGGCGTGGTTTACATCAATACATTATTTTAAGTCTGAAATTGATATGGATTGATCAGAAGTTGCTATGTGTATTATTTATTTGAAAACTGTGTTTATTTGAAAACTATTTACAGAGCAGCCTCAAAATTGAGATGAAATATTTTTGATCACAATAGTAAAGGAACTATTACAGAACAAGTTTTTCAGTACAATCAGAACATTAATATTTAAGTGCATGAATTCATACACAGAGAGAGAGAGAGAGAGAGAGAGAGAGAGAGAGAGAGAGAGAGAGAAGAAAATATCTTTTCTATAGCGTCTCTCAAGATAAAAATCATGAGGCGCTTCACAAAAACAAAAAATGTAAAATACGAAAAATAATTTATAAAATTATTAAAATACATTTAAAATGAGCAAAAAATACACAATTGTGATTAAAAAATATAAAGAATGAGAGAGAGTGAATAGGAAAGGGAAATCAGTGGATCCTGAGGAAGAGGAGAGAGAGAGGGAAAAACCCCAGAGCGGAGCGGACGCAGTGACCGACACGAGCCGTTTTCAGCTCTGTCTTGTCAAATGCACCACGTACGTTACAGAAAAAGTAACTTTAAATAACTTTATTATAACTTTAAAAAGAGGCGAGCTGAAGAAAACCTAGGGAGTACTGAAGAAACGTGAACAACAGTGAAGCAAGGACAGAGAGATCCATTACTATCTGTCTGTGTGTGTGTGTGTGTGTGTGTATGCATGGGCCGGACTGAGACTGCAGAGTTTTGTGTGTAGGGAGGGGCGGGCGCTCGATGTGACTGGCCAATCACAGAGCGTGAAGACAGTCAGTTACCCAATGAGGATTTTCCTTCAGCACGATTACAGATATTTACAAGTTTTACTCGTTTCATGCTCGTATTCGTCATAAATGCTTTATCCGTACCAGATACTCGTTTCCCTACCACTTATAAATGATAAATGACCCGCACTTGTATAGCGCCTTTCAGAGTAAGGACTCCAAAGCGCTTTATACTACAGTGTATCATTCATCCATTCACACACACTGATGGTGATGAGTTACGATGTAGTCACAGCTGCCCTGGGGCGCACTGACGTAGGCGAGGCTGCCAAGCACAGGCGCCACCGGTCCCTCTAACCACCACCAGCAGGCAATGTGGGTTAAGTGTCTTGCCCAAGGACTAAATAGCAGAATTCCCTGTCTCTTTATTGGAAATTATGCAGTTTAATGTCACACTGCACTCTGGAATGAAAGCATAGTACAAATAAGTAATTGGAGTTAAAAAAAAAAGAAATCATAGAATCAATTTATAGACCAAAATGTATTCTAAACTTTTGTCTCATCAAAGTAGCCACCTTTTGGCAGACATAACAGCTGAACACACGTGTGGAACTCTTTTTACAATAGAAATCAAATATTCTTCGGAAAGTTCTTCCCATATCTGTTGCAGAAGTTCACATAAATGTGTGACACTTGTAGGTTGCGTTGCTTTCACTCTTCTGTCCAGTTCATCCCAAACCAGCTCGATGGGGTTTATGTTTGCAGAATGTGCTGGCCACTCCATGTTTTCAAGCTTACCATCTTGTTTGTTTTTTCTGAGGCAGTTCTGGCACAGCTTGGACTTATATTTTGGGTCATTATCTTGCTGTAGGATGAACCCCTGACCAACTAGGCTCATACCAGAGGGTGCTGCATGGTGCTGGAGAATGCTGTGGTAGCTGTTTTTGTTCAGTTGGTTCAGGGTGCCTCTCACTCTGTACCAGTCACTGACCCTGGATCCAGCAAAACAGCCCCAGACCATCACACTTCCTCCTCCATGTTTGACAGTTGATGCCACACACTGTGAAATCATCCTTTCACCTACTCAATGGCGTACAATGATTCTGCGTGATGAACTGAAGATTTCAAATTTGGATTCATTAGTCCATAATACCTTCTTCCAGTCTTCAGAAGTCCAATGGCGGTGTTTCATGACCCAGGCAAGCCTTTTTCTCTTATTCTGATGTCTTAGCAGTGGCTTTCTTATTGCAACTCGTCCTGTCAAACCTGGAGCTCAAAGTCCTCTCTTCACAGTTGAAACTGAGACTTGCTTACTACGACCACTATTAAGCTGTGCTTGAAGCTGTTGTCCTGTGAGCCCCCTATCACACAAGCTGTTAACTCTCAGAAACTTGTCCTCTGATGCAGTCGTGGCTTTGGGTCTGCCAGACCTCTCCCTGTCAGAGTTTGCCCCAGTTTCAGAGTGCCTTTTGATGGTGAAGTAAACTCTACTCACTGACACCTCGACTTCTTTGCAGTTTCTCTGTAGGAAAGATCTACATTTTCAAGTGTTATGATGGTCTGTCTCTCTTCCATTGTTAATTGCCCTTTTCTCACCTTTTCTGTAGCAACACACTATTATCTGCAGTACAATACTGTTCAGCTGATGCTCACAAGGGTATGGTACTACAGTATGTTTCAACACTGCTTTATGCAGACAGAGGGGGTTGTAAGTAATCCAGAAAAGTTTGAACACATGTGGGAATTAGTAGCACCAGCTTTCAAGGCTTGATCGACATCCATTGCTGCAGAACAGCCGTGTTCCCTGAAAAATGCCTTTTTGTATAATTCTGAAATGTAAAACAATATTTTTCAGTTTAGAGTAACCTTATCATTTTATTTTATTTATTTATTTATTTTACCTCTGGCAGTTCACTGCTTAACATTTTACCATTTCAAGCTATTCATTGGACTTGAATGACTTAAACTGCAATAAATAACAGGACAAATTGGGATGTTCTAAAATTTTTGACTGAGAGTGTAATATCAAAGTCTGATGCCCTATTCCTCGTCATTTCAGATGTATCCACGAAAGTATGGCGATTTGATGAGACTGACAACCGAGTGGTCTAATGGTTGATTTTGATCTGAAACATGTTATTGGTGGAAGTTTTAAGACAAATGTGAGAGAACCACTTCATTAATTTTTGTCATTTTTAATCCCCACAATATATCTATAGCTATGCGCTGTTAAAAGGTTGGAGGCAGGAAAAAATGTTTTAAGCTAATTTATTTTCCAAATTTACTACTGCAGCTTCAACTTGTGTTCAGAAAGGATTTTCCAACCACAAAAACTCAAGCTGGTATGAGTCAGAGCAGCTTTATTGAAAGGGTGGCGACTTTAGGACTCCACAATGGTCAGCACAAAGATTAAAGGGAAGTAAAGAGATTCAGTTCCTGACTAAACTCTGCTCTCTTTCTTGTTTGTTCTTAATTGAGCCTGTGTGTTAAACATTCCTCAGTTAAATGAAGTTTGATTGAAATTAGCATTAGAAAAATGTAGTAGAAACTGAAATCCAAATCCCAGACTTGTTATACATTGCTAAATAATAAGTAATAACGGAGTTGCCGTGACTTAGAGGGGGGAGTGTCTGACTGCACACAGGAGGATTGCAGACTTGATTTTCAATCCTGCATTGCAACAACATGGGCAATCTAAAAGGGACTTTCCTGATTAGGCAAATGTTAAGTACAAAAAATTAGATATAGATGCGTGATGTCATCAAACACTGTAATTTCATGTTAACTTATTTAAATGAGATCTGGTTTATTTTGAGACTTTAGTTGAGAATGTTTTTGTGGGGTGCTATGAACATGAAAATACTCAGTCTGCATGTCTGTAAGATGAACTTTCCGCTACTTCCTTTGAAGTGTCAGCTGACTGATCGTCTTCCAGTGGAAAACCACAGCATGCAATCTGTGACCTGGTCTCATCACAAACTCTGATTCAGAAACAAAAACTTGAACAAAACTATTTTTATATTAATCATTAGAGCTAGATAACAAATTCATTTATTTTAAAATGAATAACTAAGAAAACATTTCATTTGAGCTATGATTTACAATATAAAAATCTAAAAGCACAGAATATTTGTTAAAATATGTTGAACTAGTAACATGATTATGAAAATTTTAATGTTTTACTAAAAATAAATGGTTTTTAGTCCTTTCCTAAAGCTGTCAGTAGGTTGGGGTTCTCTCAAAGTGTTAGGGTGGGCATTCCACAAATGGGGACCGGGGGTCAGGCATAGGCATATTTTTGAATATATTTTTAAATCACAATAGGATATTTTCTCTTTCCATTTTCTCTTCATACGGTTTCTCCCACAGTTTTATGTTCAGATTTCTTTTCTTTTTCCTTCTGATTCCTTGTATAAGGTAAAGAGAAATGGGGCAAGGATTCAAGGGACTTGAGATCGGAGCTGTGCATGCTGAGCTTAACTTTAAAGGTTTGTGATACAGCTTGTGGTCACATGGTTAAAGTCACAGGATAAATTAGGGGAGGGCATGCTTTGTCCAACAATATTTCACAGTAAAACTCAGCAACATTACATTATTTTCTGAAAATACTTAAGAAGAACTGCAAAAAACTCACTGCAGGCGAGCATAGATGAACAAACTGACAAAGGAAAAGAAAGCTGACAGTCCCGATCCAAAATAGGTGATACGACTCAGGTTGTCCTCTTGTGTTTCATCCAGTGTTATGTCTGGGTTCTGTAGAAAGAAAACACATCAAGTTTAGGTATTAACCCGTAATTATAGTGCATCTCCTAGAGTCCTAGAGCCCCCAAAGGTGACAACAGTCACCTATTTGAACACTGGCTGCCGTACACAGGCCCCACCCGTCCCTCCCATCACCAGCACCGGGCAAGGATGGTGAAGTGTCTTGTCCAAGGACTCAGGGACTAGGGCAGCCTGAACGGGTCTTGAACCTGCAACCTTCTGGTGCATGGTAAGCACTTAACTGCTCTGCCACTGTCACTCCAACCTTTGAATCATCGGTAAAAGACTTTTCTTAGTATGTTTTAGAAATTTCTTGCTGTAATTTCTGACCTTTTACTCATAGTTGCTCAACTTGCCAGATTAATTTAGTGTGATGGCTTCCAAACCTGAATCTCTAAACCAAGGATCATGAATCATATATCTTTTGCTTGAAGATTCCTCGGCTCTCATTTATCAAACGTTCAAAGAAACTGTCCTATATTCCTTCCTACAAATGAAATTTAGAATTGTCGTACGAATGGTTAAAATCCAGATTTATGAAACATGCGGTGGCCTCTCGTACACAAGTTCTTCTGCAATCAGATGATAAATCCCACCTGTGCATACCCAGGTGCTTGTGTCCATTCTCAGTCATTTTCATACAGAAACGCCCTCAATTAACATATTTAGTCACACTACGTGCTTAGTACATGAAGTGAATCCTTTGTCTTCTAGCTCATGGGATCTCCTGGTTAACCCTCTGGAGGCAGGCGTTGCAGATTTGCAGCATTAAAACCTACCTACCTGGTTACTCCACATACGTGTTTCATGAGCATTTTTTAACTCAGAAGTACCCCTGAAGGACTTAGTTGTCCTTTTATCAAAACTCATTTTGAGCCTGAGAGGGTTAAAAACACAATGGCACGTAGGCATCGCTCTCTCCAAATGACAAAGGAAAGTCTCTGATGTAATAAGATTGTTTCCTTCTATAAGGTTGTAAAGGACAGTCTGTTTTGTTAGTGGCTAGAGGTAAAAAAGTGTTTCAGAATCAAACATGTCTGATTAACCCTAATCCAAAAGAGTGTCATGTTCTGTGTTCCCTTGGTCCCCAGCCCCCTCCTGTTTGTCCTCTGTGTTCTCCTCATGTTCCTCCTGGTGTTTTCCAGCTTCTCAGGTCTCTCCAGTCACCCCTCTGTAGTTTTATTTTCTATAGGTTCAGCTTTTCATTTTATTTGTTCCCTTTAGTGTTTGTGTCCTTCCCCACTTGTTAATTAGTCTTCCTTACTCCTCTTGTCATTAGTTGTTGATCTTGGCCCTTAGTTTCTAGGTTTAGTTATGTAGTGTTTTTATAGGTTATGTTATCTTCCCCTCTGCTTGGTTTTCCCTTCCCATGTAGTTAATTGATTTCACCTGTCACCTGTTCCCCTGATTGCTTTCCACTGTGTTAAAAGCCTGGCTTGTCCTTCAGTGTTTGTTGGGTCATTGTCGCATGTGTTGCGTTGTTTGTTCCCATCTCGAGACTCTCTTAGTCCCTGCTCTTGTGTGAGCTTAGTTCATTTTGAGTTTTCAAGTGTTTTTGAGTATTAGTCTTATTTTTTGCTTTGGACTTTTCAGCACATCCTCCTTAAATAAAGGACTTGTTTTTCTTAAAACCTCTCCTGCCTTTGAGTTGTTCTGGGTACTTCTGCATCCTGGGTCCAACCTCCTCTCCTAAACGTGACAAAGAGTTGTTACTGAACTGACTTTAGAGATTGAGAAACCAGGAAGGAAAACCTGTTTGACAACAGAAGTGCTGTGGCTGTTGTAACATATAAAATTAAAATTTTCTTAGAAAGACTTCCAGCCTGTTTAAATCACACAGCGGATAAATCTGACCTCAGTCGTGTTTTTCTGGTTATGAAGGGTGGTTTGAATAATTCATCTTACATTTGAATCCAGAACTAATTAGTGATAAAAGTACTTGCTTGGAGTACGGCTGTTGTGAAAGCCTGGAATAAGTTCATGTGGATGGGCTAGTATTAAACAGCCATTAATTATTTGGGATAGAAAGGTGCTGTTTACCACAAGTACAGCAAAGAAGCTCAGGTGGTTGCAGCTGCAGTTAAACTGGTCTCTGCTGAGGTCGGTGTGACAGCCGTCTGTGCTCCAGTAACCTGAAAAACAAACCACTGGGTAAATTTGAGATCACGCTGTCTATTGACTGCGTTTGAACATATAGTACTTTTACCTGCTCCAGTCTGGTTCTCTGATTCCTGCCAAAATACACAAGTTCCAGTTTCCTCCTGAGAATAAACATAAGAAATTAGATTAATAGCAAATGTAATTGTTTTATGATTTTTACTTGTTATTGTGATTTTTTTTTTACCTTATTCTCACGCTGAAAGATTAACCTGACAGGCTGAGAGAGGTTTTTGACTGGTTGACTTCCTGCCTTCACAAACAGAACAAACCCTCCCAAAGCAGTTCCCTGGTAGGTCATCACCTTTTTCCTTCTTTGTCGAGGAGGTGCTTGCTGCAAAAAAAAGACAGATAACTCAGTGTTTAGAAGTGCTGCAACGGCATGAATATAAAGATCAAGCGTCACATGATTTCCACGCCACAGCGGAAACAGAATGTAAATATATGCAAACAAAAATGCAGAATAATGTTACGTTGACTACTTAAAGAGCAAGTCACCCCCATATTAACCTTTTTTACTGATAAACTGTATAAGTGGGTGTCTAAATAGGCAGAGGTGTGGACTCAAGTCACATGACTTGGACTCGAGTCAGTCTCGAGTCATTATTTTAATGACTTCTGACTTGACTGGATAAAATCTGTAAAGACTTACGACTTGACTCGGACTTGAACATCAATGACTTGCTGCCTGGAATCGACTTGCATCTTTTGGCTTGATGACTTGAGCATATTTGATATTTCAGCACAAAAGTGGCATGACATGGACAAAAATCATAAATCGTTCTTGGTTCTGGGTTCGAGTTACTGCTGAATGCAGCAGTACTTTGTTTAGACTCATTTTCAGTTGCACTTTCTGCTTGTTTGAGCAAATAAATTAAGCTTTAAGAAGCTTTATTTCTGGAATTTATTTATTATCATTGCCATTAAATTGAAGTTGGAGAGATGACTTGATTGTGTCTTGAAATTCAAACTTAAGGACTTGGACTTTCACATAATTGACTTGACTTGGACTTAGTTGTCTTTGACTTGGACTTGACTCGAGACTTGACTGGAAAGACTTGTGACTTATTTGTGACTTGTAAAGCAGTGACCTGATCACACCTCTGCGACTAGGGGTGTTGTCTGTGTTGCTGCTGCAGCACTGCACTCTTGGCCCAACAGGCTACTCATTATGGCACATTTTTCAAACAGGTGGTGTGGGTGGAGCACGGGGGTGACTTTCTCTTTAAGATAAGTAAAAATCCAACAGAAAATCCTACAGTTGTATCATGAGGCTGTTGGCTCCTTTCTTTAAAGAACAAGTCGTCATCGTCGTCGTCTTCCTCCGCTTATCTGGGTCTGGGTCGCGGGGGCAGCATCCCAACTAGGGAGCTCCAGACCGTCCTCTCCCGGGCCACCTCCACCAGCTCCTCCGGCAGGACCCCAAGGCGTTCCCGGACCAGATTGGAGATGTAACCTCTCCAACGTGTCCTGGGTCGACCCGGGGGCCTCCTGCCGGCAGGACATGCCCGAAACACCTCCCCAGGGAGGCGTCCAGGAGGCATCCTGACCAGATGCCCAAACCACCTCAACTGACTCCTTTCGATCCGGAGGAGCAGCGGTTCTACTCCAAGTCCCTCCCTAATGTCCGAGCTCCTCACCCTATCTCTAAGGCTGAGCCCAGCCACCTTATTTCAGCCGCTTGTATCCGCAATCTCGTTCTTTCGGTCATTACCCAAAGCTCATGACCATAGGTGAGGATTGGGACGTAGGTCGACTGTTAAATTGAGAGCCTGGCTTTCTGGCTCAGCTCCCTCTTCACCACGACAGATCGGCTCAGCGTCCGCATCACTGCAGATGCTGAACCAATCCGCCTGTTGATCTCCCGATCCCTCCTACCCTCACTCGTGAACAAGACCCCGAGATACTTAAACTCCTCCACTTAAGGTAGGACCTCTCCCCCGACCCGGAGTTGGCAAGCCACCCTTTTCCGGTCGAGAACCATGGTCTCAGATTTGGAGGTGCTGATCCTCATCCCAGCCGCTTCACACTCGGCCGCAAACCTACCCAGCAAGAGCTGAAGGTCAGAACTGGATGAAGCTAGGAGGACCACATCATCTGCTAAAAGCAGAGATGAGATTCTCCTGCCACCAAACTCGACACACTCCACACCACGGCTGTGCCTAGAAATTCTGTCCATAAAGGTAATGAACTGAACCGGTGACAAAGGGCAGCCCTGGCGGAGTCCAACCCTCAACGGGAACGGGTCTGACTTACTACCGGCTATGCGGACCAAACTCACGCTCCTCTGGTAAAGGGACTGAATGGTCCTTAACAAAAGGCCACCCACCCCATACTCCTGGAGTGTCCCCCACAGGGTGCCCCTGGGGACATGGTCATAAGCCTTCTCCAAATCCACAAAACACATGTGGATTGGTTGGGCAAACTCCCATGCCCCCTCCATCATCCTTGCAAGGGTATAGAGCTGGTCCACAGTTCCACGGCCAGGACGAAAACCACATTGCTCCTCCTCAATCTGAGATTCAACTATCTATCGGACCCTCCTCTCTAGTGCCTTGGAGTAGACCTTTCCAGGGAGGCTGAGGAGTGTGATCCCCCTATAGTTGGAACACACCCTCAGGCCACCCTTCTTAAATATGGGGACCACCACCTTGGTCTGCCACTCCACAGGAACTGCCCCTGATGACCACGCAATGTTGCAGAGACGTGTCAACCATGACAGCCCTACAACATCCATAGCCTTGAAATATGCAGGATGAACCTCAACCGCCCCCGGGGCTCCGCCGCTGTGTAGTTGTTTGACGACCTCAGCAACTTCTGCCCCTGAGATTGGACAGTCCATCCCCAGGTCTCCCGGCTCTGGTTCCTCCTCAGAATGCGCATAGGTGGGATTGAGGAGCTCCTCAAATTATTCCTTCCACCGTCCGACTATAGCCCCAGTTGACGTCAGCAGCTCCCCATCCCCACTGTAAACAGTGCGAGCGAGTTGCTGCCTTCCTCTCCTGAGGCGCCGGACGGTTTGCCAGAACCTCTTTGGAGCCGATCAACAGTCTTTCTCCATGGCCTCACCAAATTCCTCCCACACCCGAGATTTTGCCTCGGCAACTGCCACTGCTGCACCCCCATGGCTATCCGGTACCTGTCTGCTGCCTCCGGAGACCCATAGACCAGCCACGCCCTGTAGGCCTCCTTCTTCAGCCTGATGGCTCCTCGAACCTCTGGTGTCCACCAGCGGGTAAGGGGGTTGTCACCACGACTGGCACCGGCCACCTTGCGACCACAGCTAGCAACAGCCACCTCAACAATTGCAGAGTGGAACAAGGCCCACTCGGAGTCAATGTCCCCCACTGCTCTCGGGACATGGTCAAAGCTCTGCCGGAGGTGGGAGCTGAAGACCGTCTTAACTGGTTCTTCTGCCAGGCGTTCCCAGCAGACCCTCACTATGCGTTTGGGTCTGCCAGGTCTACGCGGCATCTTCCCCCGCCATCTGATCCAACTCACCACCAGTTGGTGATCAGTTGACAGCTCCGCTCCTCTCTTCACTCAGGTGTCCAAAGCATATGGCCACATGTCAGATGATACAACTACAAAGTCTATCATCGACCTGTGACCTAGGCTGCCCTGGTACCAAGTGTACCGATGGGCATCCTTATGTTCGAACATGGTGTTCGTTATGGCCAAACTGCGGCTTGCACAGAAGTCCAATAATGAAACACCACTTGAGTTCAGATCAGGTGGGCCATTCCTCCCAATCACACCCCTCCAGGTCAAGCTGTCATTGTCCACGTGAGCATTGAAGTCCCTCAGCAGGACAATGGAGTCCCCTGATGGAGCACTATCTAGCACTCGTCCCAGGGACTCCAAAAAGGGTGGGTACGCTGAGCTGATATTTGGCCCATAAGCACAAACAACAATCAGGACCCGTTCCCCGACCCGAAGGCGCAGGGAAGCTACCCTCTCGTCCCCCGGGATAAACCCCAACACACAGGCAGAGAGTCTTGGGGCTAACAAAAAGCCAACCCCAGCCCTCCGCCTCTCACCCGGAGCAACTCCAGCAAAGGAGAGTGTCCAACCCCTCTCAAGGACTTGGGTTCCAGAGCCAATGCTATGTGTCGAGGTGAGTCCGACTATATCTAGCCGGTACCGCTCAACCTCTGCCACAAGCTTATGCTCCTTCCCTGCGAGCGAGGTGACATTCCATGTCCCAAAAACCAGTTTTCTTGTCTGGGGATTGGACTGCCAAGGCTCCCGCCTTGGTCTGCCACCCGATCCACATTGCACCGGACCCCTTCATGTTCCTCCTGCGGGTGGTGGGTCCACAGTTGGATGAGCCCATGTATCCGGTTTGGGCTGGGCCCTGCCGGGCCCCATGGGCGAAACCCCGGCCAACAGGCGCACGCTCACGGGCTCCAACCCCAGGCCTGACTCCAGGGTGGGACCCCGGTAACCCTCCGGGCCGGGTACTCCGACTCTTTGGATTTACTTCCATGAAAGATCCTGTGAACCGTTCTTTGTCTCACCCTTCACCTAAGACCAATTTGTCATGGGAGACCCTACTAGGGGTACAAAGTGCCCCAGACAACATAGCTCCTAGGATCATTAGGGCACTCAAACTCCTCCACCACGATAAGGTGACGGTTCAAGGAGTAGAGCAAGTCACATCAAAATCAACTATTTTTTAGCTGATAACTAGTATACATGAGTGTCTAATAGTGTTGTAGACATGTGTAGTTATTATTTTTGATGCATTTTCTTTGAAAACTCTAATTTCTGTGTAAAAACGTCAGTCTAGTGCAGGGGTGGGCAATCCTGGTCCTCGAGGGCCGCTATCCAACATGTTTTAGTTTCTTTCTGCTCCAACACACCTGATTCCTGGATAAATCACCTGTTCAGCAGTTCATCAGGCTCTGCAACATCCTGTTAATCACCAGCAGATTCAAACCAGGTGTATTTATACAGAGAAACAACTAAAACCTGCTGGATAGCGGCCCTTGAGGACCAGGATTGCCCACCCCTGGTCTAGCGCCATCTTCAGCTCAAAAGTATAGAACATGTTTATTTTGAGTCGGGTTTAGCCAATGGCTAACGGGAACAATGTTACGTATCCAAGAACAGTACTACGTAGCAGCTCTGTGGCTCGGACTAGCCGCAAGTAAGTTGTGCTGTAGTTAGCATTAGCATTGTGTCAGAGTCCCAGCAAAACTTCTAGTATTATAGTTATTTAGTTCTAGTAGCTTGGCTGTTAGATTTTGTAGTTAAGTGTTTTTTACATCAGACTCTTTCACCAACTTGATGGAGTTTGAACCGGGTTATGCTGGTTTGAAGAGCATTTTA